CATTTGGTAAGATTGAGCCCTGGTCAGGTCACAGAGGTCAGGTCACTGGGGGGCCACAATATGAAAGCGTCGTGTGATACATGTTTTATGGTCCATTTTACATGACAAATGCGATTATGTGGGTCAGGCAGCCTTTGGGGCCAGCTTAGGTCACGTTTTGGTGAAGGTCAGGTCAAGCTCAGGTCAAATTAGGTCAAATTTCAAAGTTGATATTTTTGCATAAAATGGGTATTGATTCGATGCAGCTTGTCACGGGGAGGCTAACGGTGGTCTTTGTTTTGCTTTACGTGGTCTAGAATTGCCAAAAATTGAGTTTGAAAATTTGACGTCGTCATTTTTGAACAGTTTTTTTTCGCTATAACTTGGCAAAAAAACGAGGTATCGATCTGAAATTTGGTATGTAGATAGAAGACGGTAGGTACTATGACATATATTCCGCCTTGTTCGAAACTCAAAAAAGTTTTTGGATTTTTTTGACTAATTTATCAAAATGTTTTTTGATTTTAGGGGGTCAAAACTAAAAAAAATCAAAAATCCGAGATAACAGTTTTGTATCCCTGTCCATTCTACACCTTCTATGTCTGATCATTTTTCTGTATCTTCAAAGCTTTAGGCCTGACAGCTCTTCTCGCGAAGGTCTTTTTTTTTCGGTCGAAAATGGCAGAACATGACGTCATTCTGGCGTCATTTGTGACCAATCTATTATAGCCTGTGGATTTTTTTTGTCACAATGTGTAAAATTGATGCCCGGAGGGATCCTGAAAGTTTGGTGGCGATATCTGCAGCCGTTTAGGAGATATCGGCGGAAAGGGACAGGGGGGACCGTTTCGGCCCCCCCCACGGGGCGCGGGTTTAATTAAGGTCAATTAGAAATGAACGTATGATGATCGTATCAACTTTGTTTTGGCTAGCCTCTCGGCAATCCTTGCCGTAGAAAAACAATGGGTTCGCCGAGGGTGAATGTAAACACCCGATCACGGCCAAAGGCCTTGGACCAAACTTTTCGATGTAACCACCGTATTTGTATTCTGATGTATCTGTTACAGACCGTATGAAAACCCAGTCCGTTTGCAAACGGCCTGGCCCAGTCAGGCCGTTTGAAAACGGCCTGAAAAAGCCGGCCGTTTGCAAACCGCCTGAAATATCAGGCCGTATGAAAACGGCCTAGGCAGTTTGAAACGGCCTAGACAGTTTGAAAACGGCCTAGTCAGTTTTCAAACGGTCTGGCGAAGTACAACAGCCTCTGAAGATTGAACTTAATGGATCCAGGCTGGTCGATGATCAGGTTGCATCCATGTGAATGCTTGCGCATTCCATGCCGAATGACTCGTCTACATAAGTCGAACATTTTGTTACTGTGCTGATGCTCGGCCCGGCCGTTTTTCGACAATATTACTAACTAATTATACAAGTTCACGGTCCGCCTGTGTACGGCCTCCAGTTGATGAAGCCTGGTGAAGCCACTACTGGTGAGGTCTGGTGAAACGTACCTATCACTACAAGACTCACCGATTATTTTGCGGCATAAAACGCCAGAGCGCGCAATGGACATCAGAGCTCACATCAGTGGCGCGGGAACCGGGGGGGGGGGGGGGGCGGCTAGCGGGGGCTGAGCCCCTCCAACTTTTCGGCTGGAGGGGGGGGGGGCTTGTAATGTATTTGAGCCCCCCCCCCCGCTGGAGGAATCAAAATCGGAAATCTACCAATATAATTTCATAGATTCATACATAGGCGCGGGAACCGGGGGAGGGGGCAGTGGGGGAAGCTTGCTCCTACAGCTCGGGGGCCGTGGGGGCGGTGCCCCACAACTTTCCATGAGGTCAGGAACCGTTGGGCGGCTTGTCCTCCCCTAATTAGGGGTTGTGGGTCACAAAGGAAGAAAACATGTTAGTGAAAAATCCACCTCTTTCACTGGCTCGGCAACTCATTTTGCAGATTAAAACCTTTATTCCAGGCTGCCAAAACGGTAGTTTGTTCACTCAGCTGAGACGGAATAGCGAACTTTTTTGCAAATATTTTCGTTTTTTGTTGTTGTTGAAAAGGCCAAGGTCTGAAAAATAAGTGGCCTAAAACCGGTGAGAAAACTAGATTTGGGGGTACCCTACACTGAACACAAAATGACACAAAAAACGACTAAAAACGCACAGGCAGAGCGTGTTAACTAGGCTTTCTTGTGTACCCTGCATCATGCATTTTTTGACCCGTCACAGACGTGTCAATTTACAAATGTGTTAACCCAGTCGTGTTGTGTCCTAAAACACAATATCATTGTGTCTTCAACACATAAGGCTTGTGTGAATACATTTGCAGAATACAAGGTAAATGTGTTACTAAATTTACCACAAATCGCAAGTGAAAGAAGGAAACACGTGGTGATTATGTAGCCTTGTTGCCGGGGCGCAGTTGAATAGACTTTGGCTGGACAGGCTGACTGCCAAAGCCGGGCCCCGAGTGGAATCGGGCGCTCGGGTGCGGTCAGGGCTGAGTACCTGGCCGGCCGACCCACACGGTCATGGCGCGGTCAGGGCTGAGCACGCGGGCGGCCGACCCATACGAGGCCGCCGACCCATACACGAGCTGGAGTTGCGCCCGGTCGGCCACTTCAGAGCCGAAGGGTGAACGCGTCACGTGGACGGCTCAATCAGAGCACCAAGTGACGATGCCCCAAACTGGAGAACTACTGTACAATACAGTTGTCCAGACAGCCGGGGGCCCGAGATAAATTTACAGCCAGCGATTTTTTTCAAATATATCATATATAGACCGAGGAGTTTCTTCCTCCAAGCAGACGTTGATTAGCTATGCTTCAGCTTGCACTTGATATAATCAGCGCATATTGCTCTAGACAATTTATCATGTATCGACTCCCTCGGCTGTATTGTGCATTTTGACCTTTCTCAAAACACATTGGCAAATTTTTACAAAAACCCAGCATAAAAGTCGGTGCTCGAAAAACGCCCTCTATTATCCCCATCTGAAGTTAAGGCTCAGAGGTCGCTCACTGGTGGATGGCACGGTGTATTTGTGCAAGGGTACACGTTTTTTGTTTTGTTGGGTTAGGCCCTTTCGGTCGACAAGACCATTGCAGAGCCGGAAGGATGATAGGATTTAGGGGGAGACATTGGTCTGGGCAGGCACCCTAGTGAGTCGCCGGGGCTGAGCCCGTCCAGAGGACAGGCCACCCAGCCCCAAGGCACTCACTGCACCCGGCTACGGGGTGCGCTCCCTCGGGAGCAGCGGTGCCGCTCCAAGGGAGCAGCCCGCATGAGATAAAGTTGCCTGTCCAGCCCGGAAGGGGGTTGTGGCGTGGTGGAGAAGGATTTCAGTTTCCTGAGGATAGAAGCACGGATAGGTGCAGGGTACACGTCTACCATATCCGACAACACATGATTTCGATACACTGATGCATTACATTCGTCCAGCGTGCTTGGCACGATAAAATTGTGTCATTATTCTGTTTTATGTGTTATCAAACGTGTCGAAGGTCCCGCCAAGCGTGAAAATACTCAGCCGTATTGTGTTTTGGGTGCGGTTAACACATGACTGATGTGTTACCAGTACAGAACATGCCCTCACTGTGTCGATTTGTTTTCAGTGTAGATTGATCTCTATTATGGTTCAGCCCCCCCCCCCCCCCAGTCTGGAAGAAGTTCCCGCGCCACTGGTTCACACTAGAGTCCTCACCGCGCCCGGTCGACCGCCGGCGGCTGGCCGGTGGCGTACGCCGGCAATACTTGACCATTGCGGTGGAAGGCGAAACTTTGAAGTCCGGGGGAAGAGCCCGGGTCGACCGGGCGCTATACGGGCCGGGTCTCAGTTCCGCTAATCTCTTCCTGACCAGGCCTCAATTCGTCATCGGGAAAATCAGGGATAATTTTCCGGAACTAGCGAGAATCATCGGGGATGACGAACGGTATCGCGATAACAAGACATGCTGAAGATAGGCGCTCAACAATAATTTTCCGACGGAGGATATCCGAGTGACAATATTTTTCCGGATGCCGAATGCACCTCAGGATTTCATGGTGCCATGTAATGTCATGAAACGGTCGTGCTTCAACAAACTCAACATTGTCCAGCTGTAACTTTATGCAGACCAGATTGTTTTTAAAATGCCTAGACCGTTTGCAAACGGCCTGGTGTCTGGAAAGTTGTCATACGGCCTAGACGGTTTGCAAACGGCCTGAAATTTCAGGCGGTTTGCATACAGCCTGGAATTTCAGCCCGTATTCAAACGGCCTGACTTTTCAGTCCGTTTGCATACTTACTGGGCTGTCCAGGCCGTTTGCAAACGGCCTGAATCGGGCCAGGCCGTTTGCAAACGGACTGAGTTTTCATACGGCCTGTAACATATCCATTACTCGATAACTGGAACAATACCAGGGAACGTAAATCACCTCTGCTTTCCAAATTTCTTTGTCGTTTGTATATCTTGATAATTTGCGCAGAGAAAAAGTGACAATGCTCAATGTATGTACTTTCATTTCACATTTTTTACCTTTTTTCTAGATTTTTTTTATCTTTCTTGCATTCTTCACCCAACCTCAGCTTTGTTTTGCTTCTGGTCGATGTATCATGCTTAAATAATTTCATAGTTGAGTTTCGCCGTTCGGGCCTGCTTTTGTCTTTTCAGCGTCCCGTTTCTGCAATTCATGTCTCATCCCACACGTGTTTTCGTCTGACATGCCGCCGGTGTGGCTCGTTTCCCCGTCTGACCACTTCTCTTTCGGTCGTCATTAGCGCGCTCCAGATGAGGGGCCGGCGGCCGGCGGCGGCTGCCTCACCAGGGACCGTCCCGGGGGACGATATCGCCCCGCTGACCGGTCAGCCGGCCGGAGAGGTCGGGACGGTCGGTCGGACGCAGAGGTCGGCTCGCTAGGATGGAGAGGTCGGAATCAATGGCGACAGTCGGCCTCCGTCCGCCGCCGGGCACGGTCGGCCGCGCTGCCGCACCGGGCGGGCCCCTGACGGCGTGCGGCGAGTGGAGGGTGGACAGCCACTGTGGAAGGTGGACAGCCGCCGTGGACCGGTGCCGGGCTGACCGATACGGAAGGTGGACAGTGCCGCTCCGATCGACGCTGTGGAAATGGACGGGTGGAGGTGGGCAGTGGAGAGTCAGTGACAGTGTGTGGACCGTACAGGCACGCGATCCGGCACGCTCGACTAACGCTGAACGCGCCGCCAGTGAAAGAGACTGAACCACACAGATCACACGGATTGCGGCCTTCCGCACGGTCCAGTGGGAGCTGTAAGACCCAAGAGACGGATCCCGAGGGACCAGGGGGACCGCGGGGTGACGGCCGATAGACTGGTTCACACCAGTGAATCCTAACGCGAGCCCGACGGCACGGCGATCGAAAACTGCGGCTCTGTCGCGAGTGGCGACACAACGGGCGAGTGTTTCTCGACACGAGGCAAATATCCAGCGCGCAATTAATCACTGAGGACCGGATTACGAGTGACTCCGGGAACTGACGGCCGATTCGGTCTGACTTCCCGTGAGAATTACCGCGACAGCCCATTCCAGCGCCGCTGGAAGTCGATTTAAGGCGAATCACCTTCGATCGTCGGGATTATGAACAGCGGATTAGCAGGTCTATAAAAGATTCTCGCAGAATGCGGGCGGGTGCCTAATTATAACTACATTGCAGATCTTCTTGAGCAATAGCTAACGTGACTGGTCGGTGGCTAATCTTATTTTGTTTTAATTCATAATTTTGTACAGCGCCCAACAGCAAAAAAAAAAAAAAAATCCCGTCGAAGAAAGCCATACTGAACGCCACTAAACATTGTGTAACACCACGCATATCATCGAGTTTTCATCAGACGATTTTAGAGCTCGTCCCGTTGCTCGTGACCTCGCCTTGGCGAGGCGCACGGTCGCTGACCCGGTGCGTCGGTGGAGAGGTCACCTGTTGGCCGGGTCAGTCGCGGCGCGCCGGTACCGGACCTAAATCGCCGATTGCCGGCGATCTGTCTCCTGTCGGACGGCTGCCGGCGACATGGATCTCCATCTCTCAGTCTGCGCCGTGGCGCTGCTGGCGGCCGCCGGACTGGGTAAGCGACCCGCCGCGGTCAGACCCGCGACCACGTCCGCCCGTGTTGGCCGGCCAGACCCGCGACCAGTTTCAGCCGTGAGGGAGGCGCCCTTATGGAAGGGTTCACTGTTTACAATAATTACGAGCATTTCCAATTCCATTTAATTGAATATTTTAATCGAAATAAGCTACTTTAACAACGATGAACCATTTACGAAAGCGTGTAAGGTGTGTGGGCAACTAAATTTTCTATCACTGAGGCTCACGTAAAATGCTTGTGCGTTTTCTTTACATTTCATTTCAAACATTCATATTTTCGTCCGCCTACAAAATTCATATACATGCATGAATCCTGCAGTTGTATAATATTTTGCCTCAACAACTTGTTGGAGTATGGATGACGTCCTTATTTTTCTTCTCCTTTTTTTACCTGCACCCTGCGAGGGAGAGGAAATTGAGTAACTTCATTAGAGTTTCAGCCCACCAAAAACAGCTGCCCGTAGATCCTTTCCTTCTCTCCTTTTTGGAAGGCTTTATGGCGTATAGGTAGACACCCACTGGGCAATGCATTTCCATGTGTCACAGTTGAGGTTCTATTTTACGTGCTCTGTGCAGCGGTCAATTGCAGACCTCGAAAACGACTGGGCCGATTGTACTCAAATTTCAGACGCACATTTGAGGACCAGTGAGTAGGTTGCCCGCGAAAAAGTCAATTAAAGGTAGTGTGCCACCTTTGAAAGATTTCCCATTTTATTTTTCCTAGGATAAGAAGCTTCTGTTTTTACCTAATATCGCAAAAAAATCAAAAATGGGCCTGGAATAGTGCCTTTTTCGCCTAAAAGTTTTTCGGTTTTTAGATATGTATAACAACTGTAGTGGGCTCACCTGCAAACAGGCGTCGGGCAACAATCGCGAATGCGGCGCACTTGTGACAATAAGCAAAGGTCATTATAGTGTTACGACCATACGACGTACGGGAATGAGTTATCAGCTGTCTAATCGTAGACAACACAATGTCGAGCCTTAACCCTATTCCTGGCGGGGGGGGGGGGGCCTCAGGAGCCCCCCCCCTGAGGTTTTTTGGTTATTTCTCCCAAACGCGTTGACCTAGGAAGCTCAAATTTTCTGACTTTTCCTAATAGGCTTCTACGCAACATGTCTGAAAATTTTGAGTTGATCTGACCTCAGGTCAGGTCACCAGAGGCGGTTTGGTGACCCTACCTTAAAAAAGTTTGCAATCACGCCAGAGCTAGAGTTTTTGACCGATCAATTTCTTCTCTTCAGGGTTTAGTTAGGGTACCAGTATGTGCAATTTGTATATCTCGGAATTTTGATATCGGTGACCTAAGGTCAGGTCAATTTCGCGACCTCCCCATTATAAGTCAATGGGGGAAAAATCAACTCCCTGTTTTTACCACTAAAACGGGTCGGAATGGCCCCATATACCATGCATGACTTCATATACGATCAACCTTCACTACCTTGAGGTCTGTTTTGCTGTTGGGCAGCTGTGAGGTCATGTGACGTCATCAAAGGTCACCAAAGGTTTTTGGCCAATAACTCCGTACAGGAACAAGATACAGACGCGTGGATGGTCTCATTGTGTTCAGCTCGTCAAGACGCATCGAATGATATACATGATGACCTCGAGGTCACGTGACCTGAGGTCAACCTTTGACCTTGACCTTTCGAGGTCAACATATATATCATTCGATGCGGATTGACGAGAGGATTACGATGATGCCCTTAGTTTGTTCCTATCTTGACTAATTCGAAAGTTATTCGAGAAAAACTCTCTCCATATCTAGCGCCGCCATTTTGACTTTTTCGACCCCTGTAACGTCATCTTTGACCTGACCTGAAAATGACCTTAGTAAAAATTGTAGATCTTGGCCGTGCGTATCCGATGCCGTTTACCGCTTGTCGCTATCTTGCTTCGTTCTCGAGATCTCAGGGGGGGCCGAATCGGCCCCCCCCGCCAGTTTCTTGTCCCGGCGGAGCCCGCCAGGAATAGGGTTAAACTGTAAGCCCGTATTGGTATTGTTTCTTTTATTTGGCTGTCGAACATTATTTATGGTTTGAAATATGATTTTATGTAAAATAATTGATATGAAAAAGCCGTCTTATAAGTTATGACCCCATTTCACCACACGCAAGTGGCAGAAATGACAATGATCAGCTGACGCATTTTTCTTGGCCGAAGTCAGAGCGCGCGGCCCGACGCACCACGCGTATTTGGAAATTCCGACTTCGACGAGCATCATAACTCAGAAGCCACCTAACAGGCGTGTTCGAAACCGCAGGAGATGATGATGAACGGGTTTTTTGAAACTTGATTGGATGAGCATATCGGTAATAGCGATTTCAGTGTGTGCATTTATTGTTCATAGTGGTGTGAAATGTGGTTGGGGTACGACCGACAACCCGTCGGGGCGAATTTCGCACTGGGGTACTCAAAATTTGAAGAATTTAAGACGTTTCCATGAGTTTTGAAGGTATGGATAAGTTCTAAAAATCCGGTTCTCCTTATCTGGGCCATTAACTCCATACGGTCCAAGAAAGCTGGCACACTACCTTTAAAGGGACCCAGTTTGCACACGCGCACGTGCAGGACTCACTCACTCACTCACTCTCACTCTCAATCACCCTCTCTCTCTCTCTCTCTCTCTCTCTCTCTCTCTCTCTCTCTCTCTCTCTCTCTCTCTCTCTCTCTCTCTCTCTTTCTCATTCGTTTGTCTGGTTTTATAAAGTCTGCAGGGTGTCAAACGAATTTGTTGGTGACGCTTCCGCTTTAAGCGCTCATGGGTTATGCGCCTATTTGTAAAAAAGAAAAATATATAAAACCTGATTTTTTATATTATTTTTGGTGACATGGCCCTTTACCTGACCTGAATAGGACTAAAGTGCTTACTTTCCTCATGATTCTGGCGACCTTCTGAAAGCCTCTTTCTGCTTTTTTTGTGGCCCAGGAGCCGAGTCGCATGTGTGGGGTGTTCAAACAACCCCCACCGAGCCTGGAAATCAGATGCCCCAGCTCGGCGTTAGTGACGTTAATTGCAGATAATTTGGAAACCGATAGCTAGCCAAATACCAACCGAAACCATGGGAAAATACCGGAAACCGATCCGATTTCAGGAATGGATAGAAATACCGAATTTGGTAAATATTGCAGCATGGAATGCATAAGTGAGCATCCTCAATGCCAAAAAGACGCCAAAAGTACCACGATTGAAATACCAAATGCCAAGTTGTTATCGGTTCGGTATGTGTATACCAAAAACTTAAAAAGTTGGTATCGGCGATTGACGTGTGCACTCGGCGTGGCGCAGCCGTGCTCTCGCCTCATGTCGCATCTTCATGAGAGCACTGAAAAATCCAGGACGCCGCTCTGGCGACGAGCGAGTGCAATGGATATGTGTGAGCCTTGCACTCTGTAAAGTGCACGAGAGCAAAGATTTCTAACCAATGGCGCTGGTTAGAAAGGCCTTCTAACCGGTGCCTGCCGTCTTCACCTGTCCGTGCGCTCGGACGAGCCGTTTTTAGCGCAAAAAATAGCCCTTTCACGTGTGTAACAACAGGGAACGCTGCGCCGGTGGACGCCCAATGATTGACCAAGGTTCAGCGACACCGCGCGCATTGTTCCACTCCTGATTTTATGCATAATACGTGCGTGCGTCTGTTCGTGGTCGTGCCGAACGACACACAATTCATTATCATCACCTCTGCGCATTTCTTTTCTGTTTGCATTGCATTTTTCTTTTTGTATTTCTCTTGATTCTTTGAGCTGTTGCGTTCCTTACAGGGAAAAAGTTGCGCTAATAGCCGTACCACATTGATTATGTACGAGGTGCACTCCAGAAGTTTTGAGCCTTTTTCAGTTGAGTAGAGACAGTTCGTTGTTTCAAAACAGCATGAAACTTCAGTGACTCTCGAAATGAGACCTCCCGAGTTCAATACACTTGTAGCGCTCCGGTCACTTCCTGAAGACCCGCTGCTAGTAATTCAAAGTGAAGGTGCCCATGGCCTCTGTCACAGCCTCATTTATCTCCTCCACATCCTCCAACCGGCGTCCCCTGAACTTCTTGCTCAGTCTGGGGAACATCCAGAAGCCACAGATGGCCAGATCTGAACTGTGGGGAGGCTGAGGGACAGTTTTGATGCCCATCTGTGTTAGTTAGCCCGTCACCATGATGGACTTGTGGGTAGGTGCGTTGACCTAGTACAGGTGCCCCTGGCCAAATTTGAAGAGTTCCGGTCTCTTGCGGCGAATTCCCTTTCTCAACTCCCTCAGAACTTTCAGGGAACATTCCTTGTAAATCATCTGGCCGTGCACGGGACCCAGTTAATGAATATAATGCGTTTTTGTCAAAATACGGGATTATTATGAGCTTCCAAGTGGACCTGCTCTGTCTGACTTTCTTGGGTCTGGGGGAGTCAGTGTGCTTCCACTGAACACTTTGTCTCTTGGTGTATGGATCGGTAAAAATACATCCAGCTTTCGTCTCAAGTCACTGAAGAGTCAATTTTAAATGTTTCTGGGGTATTTTATCAAAATAATCACAAAATTGTATTGCCTAGCGACCCGCAAGTTTGTGCTCACATGAACAGCCTGACCATGCTGTGTACTGGCTGCTGTGACGAGCCGCGTGCGACATGCCGTGTTCAGGGTGATGCCCGCCGTCTCTTGCAACGTAGAAAAACAAAATTATGCAAGTACGTTTATGACAACTGTGGTAAGAACATATGAAAGCGACAAGAATCTAGCACTGTTAATAGGGCTTTTATGAGGGCAGTCTCAAAACTTCTGGAGCGGACGACGTACAATAAATCTAAGCAGTCCTCTTCCCACCCACCGTCGGCAGGCGCCCGGCCGCCCGCCCGGTGACGTCACTGGTATGATATGACGTCACTGGCCTGTCGGCGCCGCGCCTCTGTCGGCGGCGGCGGGCTGTTATTCTCCGTCCGCTCTGTGTACGCTCGGTTCTCACGGCCACGGCCGACGCCGACAGATTTCCGCCCTCTCGGCAGTCTGTTCGGCCGCCACTGATGAGCGCCAGCCGCCGCTCCGCCTGCAATAATAAGCCGGGGAGCTGCAGCGCGGCCCGATATAAACAATACATCCACCGCCGTGCCGGCTGGATGGTAGCAGTCAACTGAGGATGCATCGCTGCCCCGAACGCCTCGTTCAGTAAATAAAACCAGTAAAACGCCTTTTGGGCGACCAACGGAGCGAGCGAGAGGATGGGCCTTGCACGTGCGAAATTGCGAGGGGGTACCTCCAACTAACTTGTGCACTGCACCCTACTAACCGGTCTTTAGCGATGTGCCAAATTTCAGCGCAATCGGCCTAGCCGTTCTCGAGATCTGGAAGCGACACACTGCACGTGCGCACGTGCAAGCGGGGTTCAAACTGACTTTTGCACGGCACCCTACTAACTGGTCCCCAACCGTGTACCAAATTTGAGCGCAATCGGCCCAGCCGTTCTCGAGATCTGGGAGCGCCCCCTGCACGTGCGCACGTGCTGTAGCACCCCAACCTTAACACATGCAGATGAATTATCTGATGGAGACCTAACTGTGTACCGAGTTTCAATTCAATCGGCCCAACCGTTGTGCCGTTATTGAGGTTGCAATTTTGGGGGTTCTTAAAAAATGTCCAACTTTACCACGCGCCACGTGCGGTGTTTGGCATGAACGCATGGTGGCCATCACACCACAGAACTTTTACGTCCAAGTGACATTCAGTAAAGAAGACCGCTTGTCAATCGGATGTCCCGTTCCTAAGATATTAGCTTTTGAAGAGCGTCCCCACGGCCGGCCGGCCGGCCGGCCGTCCGGCCGCTCATACTCAGGATTTTCCCTTAATTCAGTATGAGACTCCGCTCGCTTCGCTCGCTCCGTAACAATCGGATCCTGAGGCAGGGCACAGGGAGCGGGATTTCTTCTCGGTTTAGACATCTAAACAGTGGCTATACCTATGCATTTTTATTTGCATTTTAACTTTGAAACTTTATGGGGGACTTTTTCTTATGCGTGCATTTTTGTGTAATACAGCGGTCTACATTCACCTTTCCAACTAATCCGCTGCCCTGCCTAGTCCACCTGATACATAGGCGGCGGAACGGGAAGGGCACCGGGGCACCGTGCCCCCTTTGATTTTGGCATTTTAACATTAGCCCAATGGGCGTTGCATGGAAAGAATGGGACAAAAGTCGGCAGTGCCCCCTTTAGTTGAAGGTGTTCCGCCGCTACTGACCTGATATCCAGACACACAGATCCAGATGCCAGATACACCTATGTGCCGTTGGATGTAAAATCGTTGAGCAGCTGCCTGCTTCTTGATCATGAATCATCTTTCTTTATTGCTCCGTAATCCAGGGGCGGATCCAGCATTTTGCCAAGGGAGGGGCTATTCCGAATCGGGGGCCCCCCATCGATGGGGGCCCTACCTACCCCCAAAAGTTTAAGCCTGGATTTCGTCCACTTTATTTTTGGGAGCCCCCTATCATGCTTTTTTTGCAAAAAAAAAAGAAAATGAGAAAGTCGCCCGGGGGGGCGCTATAGTCCCTATCGCCCCCCTGGATCCGCCCCTGCTAGGAGGCCTTGTATGTGAACTAGGAAGCCCTCTGTGATAGCTAGGAGGCCCTCTGTGCAGATGCGAGCGCAGGCCCTCAGTACAGACTTGGAGACCCTTTGTGTGGATGCGAGTGGAGGCCCTCTGTGGAGATTAAGAGGTCCTGTGTTGGCGAAGAGGATATCTGTGCAGGCTTGGAGTCCCTCTGTGCAGGATAGGAGACCTTCTGTGTGAGTTAGGAGGCCCTCTGTGTTGGCTAGGAGGCCCTTTGTTCGGATGCGAGTGGAGGCCTCTGTGTAGGCTAAGAGATTTTGTGTTTGTTAGGACATCTGTGCAGGCTTGGAGGCCCTCTATGCAGGTTAGGAGGCCCTGTAAAAGTGGTCATCTCTGTGAGTATAAGAGACCTCCAAGTTATGAAAAGCTTTACCAATCTTCTAACAAAGAAGTCTTCTCAGCTAGTCTTCTAAGAAATAACTAAGTGGGTAGGTTAAAAAAAAACTCATCGGATTTCGGCCACTTTATTTTCAGGAGGCCCCCTTTTCAGCTTTTTAACTTTTTATTTTATTTTTGAAAAAAATCGGCCAAGGGGGGGGGGGCATGGCCCCCATGGCCCCCCCCCTTGTATCCGCGCCTGCCGTAATCAGACGAACATATCTCCCTTTAGGTAAAAGTGTATTTAGGGCCTTGGGTAAAAGATGCGGAAAGAATACACTGCTAGCTGGGACGAATCACTTCAGCTCGATGCGACACATGACAAGTGACGTTCGTCTTAACAAGCTCCGCGGAAGGGTTGTGGATGCAGTGCAGTGCATCAACCTTTTTTACTAGGCGATGGTTGGTTTCGCGTAACAGCTGAGCAGGATTTGCATATGCTGACACTGGGCAGGTTCGGTGACCGTCCCCGCTGCCCTGTTCCAAAGTCGGAACTAACTGAGCAGTGAGCAGGTTGCGTAGGTGTTAAAGGGACCCTCCCACCTTAACATTAGATTTGAGTTGAGATAGCCAAAATGGGGTCCCTGGCTCACAATTACCGGTTTCGGCACTCACAACATCGAGAAATGCCTTAAATCGGAAATATTGAATTTCAAAATTGCAGCATTTTGATTCAGAGGGGCTAATGCTTAGGAATACCCCTCTGAATGTGTGACGTCAGCGCAAATATCTAACGATTTTTAAATGTTTGACTAAAACGTTTTGTAGCTCGCGGTGGTATATGCTATTTGCGCGCAACATCTGCCGCAAACGCCGCACTTCTAAAATAAAGTCGCTAGAAACAGCGGAGATCCCAAAAAAGTAAACAAAAGTAAAAGTCCAATATCTTGAAAACCGGTGAATATTTTTCGGTGAAATTTGGTAGATATTCGTTTTTGCTCTTTCTGAACCGAGCGACATCACTTTCATGCCAATTCATAAACTTTTTTGAAGGTGGGAGGGTCCCTTTAACCCGCGCCGTGCTGGTGGCCTGAACTTTCCGCCGAGTGCTGGGGGGGGGCGTTTTCACGCCCCCCCGTCTAACTCGGCTCCTGGGCCACGTAGCGACACGCGGTAAGCGGCAATCGAAAGAGTGTCAAAAATAAGGACGAAAACACTTCGGTCATTTTTTGGGTCAGGTCAAAGGTCAGGTCACCAGAGGTCACCAAAGGTAAAATGTTGACTATTTCAACATTTTGGAAACTGCCAACGGCTATCTCGGGAACCGATAGAGCTACAGCGCCGCGGAAAAGCGCATTCGATAGCCCTTTTACAGACCTTTCTGAGTAATGTTCTCAGATTTGACCTCAGGTCAACGGTTTAGCCTCCAGAGGGCAAAAACTCCAAAAATAGCCGTTTTTACGAAAAACGTTTTTTCGTCAATAACTTTTGACTCATAAGCGCCATGACATTACTTTTGCCAGCATCGTGTTCCTCTCGTCGAGACGCGTCGAATGAACTATTTGTTGACCTTGAAAGGTCATTTTGAAAATTTGACCTCAGGTCAAGGTCATGACCTGACCGAAAAGGGTCATGTTGCATATCAGTCGATCCGTATCGTCGAGCTGAACACATCTGACGTGTTTTCACCGCTCTAGCACGTCTCTATCAAAAGTTATAGCCAAAAAACTGCTGGCGACCGTTCATGACCTGAGATGACCTCAGGGGCACACAGAGGGGTCACAGGTGCATTTTTCCTATTCAGTGTGTCATGTTTACCTATGAACCGATGTTTGAGAGCGTTTTGAACGATATTCGTCCAAAAGAGGCGCATTTCAATTTTCTCCCATTGACTTATAATGGAGAGGTCGCAAAATTGACCTGACCTTAGGTCACAGATATCAAAAATCCGAGATATAAATTTTATACATACTGTTACTCATATCAATCGCTGAAAGTTTCAAAGTGATCGTTCAGTCGGTGTAGCTATAGCGAACCTTTGAACTTTTTCTGAGGTAAGGTCACTTGACGTGACCTGGTGACCTGACCTTGAACGGCCTAGGTCTGAAATTTTCACAACATGTGCGGAAATGATGTAGGAACACGTGTACCAAAAACGGCGGCGCTGCGCGCCGCCGTTTTTGAGATATTCGCGAAAAACCTGAGGGGGGGGGGGCGTAAAAACGCCCCCCCCAGCACGGCGCGGGTTAAATGTAAACACTTGAACACGGGACAGATTGGGTGACCCGCCCTTCCCCGCTCCAGTCCAGTTGCAGTGTCTGAGCAGGTTGTGTACTTGCGTACCTACCGACACGGGACATGTTGACTAACCCTTCTACTCTTCCCTGTTCCAGTGTCTGGACGGACCCTGTTTCCGTACGTGGGCCCTGCTGCGCCACTGACGGTGCACACAACACTACCATTATCATCACCGGCCAACACCACAGTCCTGCGGCTGCGCGCCACCAGCGACACCTATGTGCTGCCGGACCAACTACAGGTTCCGCAGTTCGCCGTGCGCGGAGACGACGCTGACCTGTTCTGGGTCACGGCCGAAGGAGACGTGCGGCTGGCGCGAGCGCTGGATTCGGCCGGAGTGCAACCCGGTAAGTGCGTGGGAGGGAGGGAGGGGTGGCCAGTCTGTGATTAGGTGCGTTGAACATGTACGGCATGATTTTATAATTGCGAATTATGACATCGGTTAGCACACATTCAACCCTGGTTTTTATTTATTACAGCCTTGCTCTGATCTGTGTGCCATCTGATTTCCCCATAAGTGTTTAAAATCGATTTGTTGACAAAAAATGCGCATAGCTTACAACTGTAAAAAAAGAATTGCAATCAAAATTACACTACTAATATCTGTCCCTCCTTCTAAAATTGAATTCATCTGCAGCCATTTCATCGCTACAAAGTCAGGTCAGCGCTCCAATGACCCGAGGCGCACCTGCTGAACGACCGTCCACATTGTCCGCGCCCATTCAAAGAGCGCCTTTTCCGGGAGCGGCTTCAAAGTTCTTAATTACACCAAGTTCAGCGGGCTCGACCGTGGCTGACGACCTCTGGCCGGCGGAATGGTTCACAGTCTCCGTGTCTGCTGACATGCATGTGTCAATAGCCCTTTGTCGAGTCTGGATCATCAGCTACCAGCCCGCTCAGCTGCCAACAACTGGGAAACGGAAGGGTCACCAGGTCACGGTAGCTGATCCTCCGGCTATATCCCAGCCGCTCTGTATTAATGGTCGATGACGGGACGGTTTAGACCGGCTTAGCTCGACGGTTTCGACAAATCCGGTCATCTGAATCTATGGCAGGAGCTTTCTGAACGGAAGTTAGAAAGTCACTTCCTACATAAATAGGCAGTCAGGGTATAAATAACATCATTAGAAATCGACGCGCACGATCTTGTCAGCAAGATGCCCTTTACCCTGTAGCTAATCATGAATCTTGATTGTCTTTTTCAGCAATAATGAGGTCCGATGTCCAACTTCAGGAGGTCAAAAGCGCTCAAACACCAGACGAAATATTCGTGCTATAATCACACTTGTGAAAGAATCAAACAGCGACAACTAAGTTCCTTGCCTCTACGTGATCACCGAATCCCCCCCACCCCCCTCCACCCTTGGCTTGTCGGCCTTGTTTTTCGGAGCCCACCTAACTTTGTGATACGCGACCGGCGAGTGATTTGCCGGGACTCTGTCACTGTCAGACCTCCTGAACGTACCTATACGTTTTAACGAGTGGTGCCGTGCCCGAGGCACTCACATCAAAGGTGTTAGACATGCTCCTACTGGATTACCCGGCAAATCACTGCTAGTCAAATGACTCGGCTGAAGTGAACTCAAATGTACATTCCACCAATGAGCAATCACGATCTGCCTATGAAGGCCTGACAGTACGGGACCGTCAAACCAGTGCGCACGTAATCATAAAAATTAGGCTGCATACTTTTTTGATTCGCTATGATTCGCTATCTTAGTTACTCAGCCGTAGTTCCTGGTTTTTGGAGCTTTACCTCGCGGATCAGGCCGACGGAGCGAGTACAAACAACGTTCCGCCTCTTGTGTACCCAACTTTAACCCCAGCTTTAACCCTACGATCTCTCTCTCCCTCCCTCTCTCTCTCTCTCTCTCCCTCCTCTCTCTCCCCCTCTCTCTCTCCCTCTCTCTCTCTCTCTCTCTCTCTCTCTCTCTCCCCGCCCCTGCACACCGCTTCACTCTCTGCCTCTATCTGCCCTCCTTAGTTCAAACTCGGCCGACCGGAGGCGATCCCAGAGAGACTGGGCGACATGCTCCGACAGACGGAGACGTCATCCCAGCCCACCTCAATGACGTTCGGAAGTGGCAATGGCATCGGCGACGGCCAGCTCCCCGAATAGAAACGTCCTAAAACAGCAGGCGTCACCATTGAGAACTGTGTGACCTTTGGGAGGAACAGGGCCGGAGAACTCACGAAACTTGTGACATGACTTTTGCGAAGCTACGCCCCAGGGTGGGTTACCTATTTTTGTTTTCACCTTTGATACCATAGTGTCTCCTTTTACGGTACTGTAATAGCACCAATATGTCACATGAGTATCCTTAAATGTGTCGAATGATACAAAAAATAAAACATTCATACACAATTAGAAATTCAAGCATGTCAACAATGTTTTGTCTTTGCCATGAATAACACTCAAAGTTACGATGTGATGTGGCAACTGTCTCTTCTCTGCTCCTCTTTCAGCTCTATCTCCTCCTCTCCTTCTCTCCTCCTCCTCTCCTCCTCTCCTCCTCTCCTCCTCTCCTCCTCTCCTCCTCTCCTCCTCTCCTCCTCTCCTCCTCTCCTCCTCTCCTCCTCTCCTCCTCTCCTCCTCTCCTCCTCCTCCTCTCCTTCTCCTCCTCCTCCTCTTCCTCCTCCTTTTTCTCTCTCTCTCCCTCTCTCCCTCTCTCTCTATCATAAGTCTCGCCCCCACTGCCCCCCCCGCAGTGCGTCGCGCCGCGATTGTGTTTGACCGTGACGAGGGCGCCATAAATGTGCGGCCGCTCATCAGGGCGCCGGTGTTTGGTCGCCGCCCCCCCCCCCCCGCCGCCCTCACCTGACTGTTTACACGCCGTGGAGGGGAGGGGGGGGGGGCATGTCGGCCGGCCGGTCCGTACATACGGACCAATTCCGGTCGGAACATACGGTCCAATTCCAGTCCGTACATACTGACGATCGGCTGGCGATATTGGCGCTAATGTGACGTCAAGATCAGAGCAAATAGCGCCGGCGTGTGGCGCGTGTGTGTCCGTCTGTCAATAGTGTGGGTTTTACCCACGAAATGGCTGCATTGCGTGAAAATGCAGGAAAATATTGAACCTTGAACATAATGATAACTTTTGGAAACTGGGACGCTTTAGACATTTCCCGTCAACTTTCCTAGCATGTTCCAGTAGCATGACCTCGGATTGGGCACTAGGCACAATTTTGGAAAAAGGAAACTTGCATCACTTTTTTGGTCATTAAACTGCACAAAATACGTTTTTTACAGTTTTGACAGTTGTTAAGTTTGTAAATATTAACTGCTGGCGGACGCACTGTGAGCTACCTATGTGCCGGGGCGCACCGTGCGCCGCTGACTGCCCTGGAGGGTAGGCTGACCCGCCGCGCTGGGCCCGCGGCCAACGGTCGGCGATATATGTAGAGCCTGGCGGTCGGGCGGACCGACAAACCGGGTGGCATAGCGATACTTTTGTGTGTGTCCGCATATACCTAATACATGCCAGAAACGGTTTGGTCTTTCAACACAGCAAACAAACATAAAGTCCACTCGATCACTCGCTATTTAGCAATATTTCCAGGAGAATTTCCAAGAAAACTCGTCGGTACGGCTTCCAGCCGTTTGAATAGCTTATGGGCCCTGTTCTGATTCATTCAAGTTGTCTGATTCATAAGCACGAGTCAGCTTAGAAAGATGGCCACCAGAAACAGTTATCTTATGATAATGGGTATCACAATGCTGCAGCATTCGGTTCAGAAACACATTACCACAGGGCTATCTCCTAAATGGAATGGTGACGGCTAAATATTTATGGTTTGCTGAGCCGCGGCTCACATATTTCCATATTGTATAAACGCTCTGACTATGAAGGATGCGATGCAGCTACATCATGCCTTGCGTCGCCTTATATGAATTCATATCGGAATAGAGTAGCGCCTTGAATATGGCAAAATGTTTAAATTATCTAAATTCCTCAAATACATACGATCGTTTAACCCATTTATGCCCAGGAATATTGACCATCATGAAAATCGACGAAATCAAAATATGTTATGCTCCTACCAGGGCCTTGTATGGAATCGAAAATAATTTTTGCCTGCAGCAAAAGTTTCTCGAGAAAAACGTAAAAAACATGCGTTGCGAAATCGCAACGAAGGGCACACCGGGCGCCATCAGCGTTGCGAAAACGCAACGACGGGCACATCAGACGGACATAAAGTACACTGAACTGCCGTATATGCTAATATATTTTGACAAAACATCAATCAACTGTTGACAACTATTGCTTGAAAAAGCGGAACCCACATCCGTCATGCTCTATAACCCGCCTAAGAGCCTCAGTGAGGAAGCATAACTTCATGATTCGCGAACGGGGAGATGGCAACACGGTCATTATCAACCATTTACGTTGTCCATTGCTTTTCATTTAAAGTTGTGGTCGACACGTATCCAGGGTGATGCTTTCTTTTTGGAAGCTAGACAGATCCATTACCTCCACCTATCAGACCCTGCACAGTGCACACTGAATACAATTAAACGGAGGATTGGGAGTAAACCAGTGCCTCTCGTATGCGCGTATATCTGCATTCATTTTTAACCACCCTCCTAGGAGTAAAGTTAAATTCCATTGCAGGTTAGTCGTACCCACTCTCAGCAAAAAGAAAAAAGGACCGATCCGGCTCTAACAAATTACCCGCGTAAGGCGTAGCGCATCACAACAAATCGACTCCCAGTTTATCATGTTTACACCTAATCCAAAATTTTCATGGCCCCACTCTCAGCGACCTTCACGTGTAGCCTCTTTCTCGAGACAATGCCAGGACAGAATGGTGATTCGACGTCAATCCGTCCTTTCCATCTTCAGGATAGTTGAATCCTCCTCCACGCCTCATCCCCCTGTTCCGGGCTGGACCGGCAACGTATATCGCAATCGGGCAGCTCACATAGGAGCGCGCCTGTAGCCGGGTGCAGTGAGTGCTTGGGAGGGGGGAAGGGGGTGGGTCATGGGTGGCGGCTGCCCACTGGCTGGGCTCAGTCTCCAGTCTACGATTGACCGTGTCCGGTCAGACAAATGTCTCCCCTAATTCCAATAATCCTGCTAGCTCTAAAAATGGTCTGATTAGATAAAAAGCCTATCAAAGTAAGAAAACAGGCGTATACTCCACATCAAGCAGCTTATGAATCTATGCGAGTTATGAATCCTAAAAATTATTATTTTCCCATGGGTCCGCCCTCATTACCCCTGCCGAAGGGCTCAGCTACCCTCAGAGGGGGCCTATCCCACTATTTGCCGACCCTCAGTTATCTTTTCTAACGCAAATGCTGGTAGTCAGCAGATTCTATCCAGAGAATGGCGATGCCTATCTGTCGCCTGATACCAGAATACATCCCCGTTATTCATTATTTATGGACAATGTACTGTACATAGTAGATCCAATTTCCAAAGGACCTAATTATCTCTCAGCTCCGTTAGCATCGCCGACCGTTTGATGCATGAGTCCTTTTCCTACCATGCGATTTTCAGATGCATGGGAACACATTGCTTAGTGAACGAACAGCCCGAGGCCGAAAATCTGCGAGAGAAAAAGAAAGGAGTGTTTGTGGCTGTTTGAGCCAGCAAATATGAAATGTGTCGCAACATTTTACGTGCGAACGCACCTTGCACAAAACGTACCTATATACGTCCCTCATGGCATAGGCGGCGGAGCCGGGGGAGGGGGCACCGGGGCACCGTGCCCCCCTTGATTTTGCCATTTTAACATTATCCCGATAGGCGTTGCATGGAAATGGAAATGGAAAGAATGAGACCAAAAGTCAGCAGTGCTCCCCCCCTTAATTGAAGATGTTCCGCCGCTACAGCCTCATGGCTACAAAATGAGAGAGAGAAAGAAAGAGAGAGAAAGAGAGAGAGAGAGAGAGAGAGAGGGGGAGAGAGTTGGGGAACGAGGAGGAGAGGGAGGAAGATGGGGGAGAGAAAGAGAGAACCCACAGCGTATCACGAGTGAAGTCTACTGTTGATATTCATACTTCCGCTACCCTGCCAATGTGCCCATCGTTGCGTTTTCGCAACACCGCTGTCTTTCCGATGTGCCCTTCGTTGCGTTCCCGCAACGCGACCGTAGTCATATTTGAAAATAGTCACAAACCCTTTTTGTAGCATTATTTCTTAACAAAATGCATATCTACGCTATTGCAGGGACTCTGCAGAATATGTTTACACAATTTTCATTACGATATTATTAAGCACTTAGCCTACTTATCTTGGTTTTCGTGACGTCATCACTCACAAAACCTTCGACTTCCCTCTGGGAGCTCTAGGCAGTAACTTACCGGCCGCACAGACTTGTAACTGCGTAGTATCATGCGCACAACCATGCTACACACGCTGAAACTTGTCTCATCGGTTAGTCTCTTTTACACACTTCTCAAGCTTCGATCACGTCGACGCTTGCTTGCGTTGCGAAAACGCAACGAAGGGCGTAAATGGGTTAATTAAATGCAGATGAACTCGTATAAAGACTGGAAAGAGGAGGAAACCATGCTTTGTCTCGCTAATCAACGATAACCTTTTTTCTGGAGAAATCTCGGAGCATTCGGCATGCAATTATGCAGTGTGTCATGCTTTGGTTCGGGGTTCGGGAGAACCCGGGTTCAATCCCCGGTGCCGCGCTACCTTTGAAAGAGACATCCTGAAGAGATGAAAGCATCCTGGTTGTGAACAGCTCGACAAAATGGATTGGCTTACATCACCATGAACTCTTCTCGTCAAGTGACTTTGACCTTCCATCACTTCTCAAGCTGACCATATTGGCATCCTGCAACATTTGGACCTGCTTTGGGTCTGGATGTGCTAACTACTGACTCGAGGTCAGACTGAGTCGCCTGTCCTGGGCTCTGTGCAGACTCGGAGGCTCGGCCCGGGTTACAGGCCCCAGGGTCAGTTGAGGTCACAGGTCCCGGGCTCTGCGCCGCACCTCGTCTGCCTTCAATATCACACATGAATTCTGGGCGTCAATGGGCGCTACCGCTGAACTCCGCACCGCCGTTATTTTGTGCGCCTCACTGGTCTCATTCTCAGCGCGACTGGAGGCGGCGCGTTCTGGCGGCTTATTGTGGGCACGGCAGGTCGCCAGACGGCGCCCCCGGCCAAATGATACCCCGGAATGCTGATGTGACGCCCGGCTCGAGATGGCCGAGAGGAGCTTCAGGAAGATGATTTGAGATCACGGGAAATGCGAATGTGATCTCCGTCGTCCCGACGTTGATAAAGTATGATGACTTCCCGTACGGATAGACACGAGGAAAAATGCGTCTAGTGTGGTGACATATTTGTGCTGAGAAGTGAGAATATCACAGCTGTGCTTCTTGCCTTCTCTTTTAGACATCGATATAAGTTGTTAGCGTTTCCTAACCGCTGCATTCCCTGTCCAGTAGCCAGTTTACTGTCCTGCCCTATGGCCAGGTATTTGCGCTCAACTCTGAATATGTCAGTGTTGTTAACCTCTGACCTGTCTCTAACCGCTGACCTCTCCTGACCGCTGACCACTATCCTCTGGCCAGTTCACTGTCACTGACCTGAGTGACCGCTGACGCCTGACCAGGTCGCTGACCGTTGACCTTTAACCAGGTCGCTGACCTTTGACCTTTGACCATTATATGTCGCTGTCCCTACCGTGCTGACCATGTCGCTGACTTCTGATCTCTGCCCCCCCCCTCTGTTGCGGCAGGGATCCGCACGGTGACGGTGGAGGCCGGGTTTCCGTCGGATCCGCCCGACCAGCGTGCTCGGGTCACCCTGCAGGTCGACCTGGTGACGTCACTGCGCGACTGCAGCGCCGGCACTGCGCAGGTGAGACGTCCCCAGACACGGGGGGGGGGGGCGTCCCCGGCATCACCCAGACAGTGGGAGGCAGAGAATGTAGTGCATTTCAGCTGAACATTAACACTGTTAAAAAACCTGCGTTTTTCCTTAGATCAAATATCCAATTGAAGCTAAACATGATAATCAAGGTTTGAAAACACTCTCTGTTTATTATAGTAAAAAGCTCTTTTCTAACTGTTCGGCTCGTTCGGCTAGGTACCTTTAACCCTCGCCCGTAAACGGCGATCTGCCACCTTCGCCCATGCAGGGGGGGGGGGGTTGGTGCGACCCCCCCTTGGCGTTTGAAAACGGAGCGTCGTAGAGCTTAGCGGAAAAGACCAACGGATTGCTCTCGCCGAGATCTCGCGATTGGTGGTATATTTTTTGGTCCTAGGTCAACATTTGACCTACTTTTGACCGGTCAAAGGTCAAATTTTCGGAAAAATAGACTTTTTCAACTTTTCCGCGGCGATTGCGGCAAAACGGTGGGAGATATCGACTTGAAACCTTCACTATCGTGTTCCTTGATCAATTCTCTATCGTTTGGTATGTATTTCGTTTCCCTAGCTCTAAAAATGGCGCGTTGGGAGCGCCGGAAGTCGGCAAGGTCACAGTCGGCGGCAGAAATTCGAAAAATCAGAATTTAAATTTTTGAAATCTGATTGTATTTTTGGATTTGGGATGTCCATTTGCTCCCTATAGAAGCTAATATTGCTGCATATTTCCATTGAGGTGACAAGAATTAGCAAAATAGTGGTTCGGGCGCTTTTCAAAAATAGTACCGGACGCTGTTCCTCTTGTGACGTCATAGCTCCGTGACCTGACCTGACCCGGTCAAGTTTCTTATACCATATGATAGCCAATACTTGCCCCAACATGCATGGGAAGTTTCATCACGATCCATCAACCTATGTCCGTACCACCGGCAGGAAACCTCGGGCGTTGGCACTCAGTTTGTGAAAATCCGGCAGGAGGCTGTTCCCTTTGTGACGTCATAACTCCGTGACCTGACATGACCCGGTCAAATTTTTTTTATCAAAAGATGCGCAAGGTTTGCCCCATCAGGTACCCAAAATTTGGCGGCGCTGCGCGCCGCCGTTTTTGCACTATTTCCGAAAAACCTCAGGGGGGGGGTTGCACCAACCCCCCCCTACATGGGCGAGGGTTAATTCATACTAAGAAATTTCTAGAACGTCATGACAGATCAGGTGCTTTTTGTTGCCCCACACTTGTGACCATTCTCCGAATGACCGGAATGACCAGACTGGCAAACCATCTCTATGGCCTTATGCATAATTGTTTATATTCAAAACCATTTTTAGAACATACTGTTAATTGATTCAAATTCACCATCGCATTTCATGGCATGCTGATCGTATTGCAGTGTCAGAAACCTGTTCATATTTTATAATGCCTGTTTCAATTATGAAAAGCAGTGCCTAGTGTACGAAATACAATATTTCATGAAACAATAATCAAATATGCCTATGCCACATCAATCATTGTGATGCACCGGCCTTCGCGTGTTTTCCATCCAATGTCACTGGCTTTCTAACTGACTTGTGACAGCGTCCACCCGATCGAAACAGATGGAAGCTGTTTAGTAATGCAAGCAGAAGAGCCGAGTTTCGAATGGCGCCATCTGTTAGGCCGTCCTCCTCCTCGCGCTGTGTACCATGGCATTTCCAGCTGGCGGCACGGTAATGGTGTGTTAAATGGGGACAGGCCCGGTCCATTTCTGATGTGCTATTTTTGACGCCTGAGCCGGGACAGACGTAACGGGCGGATCCGGAGCTTAATGAATTATACCTGAAATGGCCATGAACATGTAATTTTCAACAATGCTTCAGAATACTTTCCAGCTAGTTTTACTTGTTAGCACAGGAGTTCTGTTTTTTTTTTCGCATTCGCTAACGATTTTGGCGTCTCGGCAACCCACACTTTACATGCAAACAAGCCTCCCTCGCTGTTGAAATTGCAACGGGCGGGAAAGGCTGAAAAATGGCTTTAGTGGAAGGACACGTATTTCTACCGCAACAAAGGCAGCGCCGAGTGTACGGACCAGCACTGTAGGCTCTCGCCTTATCTATATATTAAAAAAAAATAAAAGTCGGGATCACAGTCATGCTTTCACAGCTAAAATGCAGGCTTCCAGTACGGCCTAACCTGCCCGAAGAGAATGTACATAGTTGAATAAGCATTGGTGTCATCACATATAAGTTCATTAAACCGTTTTCACCTCTAAACCTATTTGTAAACAAATTGATTTGTAAATGATTGCCCTGCCGAAATGCTATTGGAACCTCACTACAAAAGTGCTTATTATGTAAACACTGAACATTTACAGGACTTTGTAGTCTCGCTACGTGGTAGGCATTATTATTACGACGAAACTGATGTTAACCCGCGCCCCACTGGGGGGGCTATTTATAGCCCCCCCCCCCTCCCGTTTTTCTGCAATAACTTCCAAATCGCTTGACGTATCAACGCCAAACTTTCAGTACCTTAGGCTGCATCAATTTGACACCTTGTGTCAAAATGTGAACTTCGTACCTACTATAGGTCGGCCGGAAATGACGTCAGAGTGACGTCATGTTCGGCCGATTTCGACGCAAAACATTGAACCACGGCAATCGCTCCCAAGAGCTCAGTTTTTAAGCTAGATCCAATTTCTTTGCATGAGAGGACTCAGAATAGACTGCGCTATCAAACTGCTATCTCGGATTTTCGAAATTTTGAAAATTTTGAAAATTTTTATAATAATTTCCAAAATTTATATTTTTGCGTTTTTTTTTTTCAAAAACTTTTTGACTTTTCGAAAAAAGCGGAATATATGTGATAGAACGCATTATTATGACTAACTCTAGCAAGTTTTAGCTAAATATCTTCAAAAATGGCCAAGCTTTACGCATTATTGCAAAAATTCACAATTATTAATTTTTCAAATCAATTTTTCAGCACGTATGTGATATCGTACGCCAATATAAATAGCACCATCGTGTTCCTGAGCTCAAACTGCATCCAATAGACACCTTTTTGTTGAAAAATTTTAACTTCAAAATTTGACCTTTTTTGACCTGAAAGTGACCTAACATAAGCTAAATTCGACTCAAATTAATGACCTCGAATGACATAGACGACATCAAATGCGAACTCTCTGACCTAAATGGACCATAAAACATGTGTCACGTGACCGACACATGATTTAATATTTTCGTGACCTGTGATGACCTGACCTTGACCTGAAAATCAAAGTACAAGTTTGGTACCCTCAGGGTAACTAGAGCATCTGTTCCCGAGTGTGTGATCCAAAAATGAGCCTGATCTGACTTGTAAGACGGCGGCCAGAGCCCAAAACGTGAAAAAGCCAAAGTGCTAATAATTTTTACTTTGACCTGACCTGTGACGTCATCGGTGACCTCGAGGTCAATGAAATTAGGATTCGCTCGACAGTTTTTCCGGGGCTATCAGACGCCGTTTGAATTTTGACGATCGGCCCAGTAGTTTCGGAGTTAGGAGGGGGGGGCTATGAATAGCCCCCCCCCCAGTAGGGCGTGTTATACGCAGACCCCAGTGGGGCGCGGGTTAACTCAAAGGATTTGTCACCGCCTACTGGGAGCTCGGTCCAGCAAGATGCTTGAGGCTCCAGTTCACACCTAAGGTTGGGACCATCATTATGGATCTTCCATCCAACTTGGTGAAAAATGTTTGAATTCGGCCGAAAATAAACTTGCTTTTGATCTTATACTGGGTGGATAGGCTGCTTCAAGTTAAACCCAACCAAGAGTGAGACACACAGCACGCCTCTGAGCTACGGAATTCCTGTTGACTGATGAAGCCTTTACTGACTGATTAGCTTCCGAGCTATTCTCGGTTTTGTCGACGAAAGGGCACATACTTACCATGCAGGGAGACGAGGGCTGTGCGTTCTCAATATCCCTATGGACTGGCCATGTCATCTCTCCAGTCAAAGCAGTTGTCTGCCGCAGAGCAGGAGCAAGCACCACTTCCTCAGAGAGGAACAGAGCAATACCATTTGCCGCAATAACTGTGTTTGTCAGGCCCATATTTATGAATGTTATGTGTATATAAGGAGGGAGAGAGAGAGAGAGAGAGAGAGAGAGAGAGAGAGAGAGAGAGAGAGAGAGAGAGAGAGAGTGAGAGTGAGAGAGAGAGAGAGAGTGAGAGTGAAAGAGAGAGAGAGAGAGAGGGAGTGAGTGACAGAAAGAGAGAGAGAGAGAGGGGAGAGAGAGAGAGAGAGAGAGAGAGAGAGAGAGAGAGAGAGAGAGAGAGAGAGAGAGAGAGAGAGAGAGAGAGAGAGAGAGAGAGAGAATAGAGAAAGATGGGGAGAGAGAAAGAGTGAGAGTGAGTGAGTGACAGAAAGAGAGAGAGAGAGAGAGAGAGAGAGGGGAGAGAGAGAGGGAGTGAGTGACAGAAAGAGAGAGAGAGAGAGAGAGAGAGAGAGGGGAGAGAGAGAGAGAGAGGGGAGAGAGAGAGGGAGAGAGAGAGTGAGAGAGAGAGGGTTATTTGTTGCTACTTCAGAAACGCTGTGTCCGGTCTAAAAACGCTCCCACCTTCTCTTATCCGATTTTATATAGGAACTCTTTTATAGACTCCTGTACTTTCACTAGATGATTGCAGCTAAGGACATAAAACGCAGTCATATCATCGTATATTGTTTTTATATTACATTTTTGGCAGCATTGTCAAAGTTTTTGTGTTGATTCAGTTTTGTTTTTCATTTACTTGTTTAATGGTGGTATTCGGGATTTCCATCGCGACGGCGGACCGCGGGTCCATCGGTCGGCCCATCGGTCGGTCATCGGTCGGTCCATCAGGTCCATCGGTCGGTCCATCGGTTCCCCACCCCCGACTGACCGCTGTCGGCGCCATCGGTCAGCGGCGGCGGCCCTGAGTGGCCGGTAGACTGAGCTCCCTCCCACGGCCCGCCAACCCCACCTGCCCCTCCCACGGCCCGCCACTCCCAC